CCCCAAAACCCCAAAACCCCAAAACCCCAAAACCCCACTTGTATATACAAATCTTGAAATGAGCTAAAACGCCTTAAATCGTTAAATTTACGAAGATCAGCTATTTCTTTGTACTTGGGTCCTTCTTGGCGTTAACCGATGACCTTCCTGTATGAGTCAGCGATTTCTTTGAGTCAAAAATAGAATTGATGAAGTCACGCTTGGACTGAAAGTCCTTCACTGAGGGTGTCGTCTCCGGGATCGACACTGTCTTCTGCGCAAGACCCTTGATAGAGATTGATTTTGTGACAAGATGGTCTAAAGGTCTCTCCTGAGTCCAGTTTTTAGATATTGACTCGGTGTTGAAATCTGATGGGAAAGTAGCTGTGCCATCTAGAATTGTTAGAAACAAGAGCCTTACTGTTTAAAGCAGCCATAAAATCGTTCTTTTTAGAAACTTGTTCGTGGAAAGTTGAGTTAAGGGGTTGAATATCAAAAGAAGAGGGCATAATATCATTTCTTTCTTCAAGAGGATCATATAGATTCTCTACCTTGATTCTTGAATCAGGGATGTACTTTTCTCCACATTTTTGTTCTTTACCGAAAGGCAGCAAGTCCTTTACTATTTTCCATTGGGAGTTTACAATATTTGAACGGTGAACTATGAAGATTATCAAGTTTTATTTTACTTAAAAGTGTATATCTTGAGTAAACTTCAGGTCCATATTGCACATTTGTGGGGAAATAGCCGAGTCAGGCTACCTTGAAGGCATTGAGAACCACTGCATTCTGATTACAGCACGAGTAGCATCTTTGGTCTATCTTTAAAATCCCATCTGCATTATTTGAGCCCTTTGTTTGAAGGATCTTGGGTAAGGACCTCTTGTAATGATAGGGGTTTACAGATCTCCTATGCACACTTTGGGATTTTCTTGTGATTTTTGTCTGGAGTGAAGACCTCGTTCTTCCAGGAATCTGGTAACTTGGAGTCTGTATGCTGGGTGATGTGTCAAATGGAGAATTTTCTATTTGACTCTTCTAAAGATACAAATTAAATCAAATATTTTCAAGAATTTAATATAGTAGGATAAAGGTTAAGAGTATCAATGCAAATATTTGGTAAACTCGCTTACATTTGCAACTTTCTTGTACTTTCTGTCAGGAGTTTTACGAAAAGAGTTATCTCTTGGGCTCAACTTTAAGTCTGAGTTTAGGAATGTCATATTTGGATTCTTCCTCACTAGGCTACTCTTGAAGTCATTTTTAGCATCAACAATAGGAGGATTATTAGTTAATGTAGAGAAATTAATGTCGTTAGGAGAGTCATCTTCCTCGAGCTTAGTAGCCTTTGACTTCTTATGCTTCTGAGTTTGACTTAACCCCCATAAAGCAATTGAATGTCTATCTTGTTCATCTTGAATTTGAAGGGATTGGTTTATCTTTTCAGCTTCAATAAGAGCTCTCATGATTTGAGCAAGGTTATGGATCTCAGTTGTCTGTCTCTTGATATTAGCATAATTATCCCTATTCCCAATTCTAACTTTGTTCATCTCTTCAAAAATGTCTGATTTATCTCTCTTTCTCTTGATCTTTTGCTGGTTGATATAGTCTATAAACTCAGATTTCCTCTCTTACCCAGAATCGATTGTTGCTTCTGATATTGATCTTCCATATTTTTCTCCAATTTCTTCTCAATGGTGGTTGCCATTTCATCAATGCTACCTGAACAGAAGATCTTCATTTCGTCAGATAAGGAGTTGATCCTGACTGACAGGTCATCAAACATCGGATCGTAGACATTTCTTTGTTTATTGATTTCTCTGGTTACTTTAGAATCAAGGAAGCTTCTAACAGCTTTTTCAGACTCAGAGATCAACTCAGTGACCATTTCTTTAATCCTGCCGTGTCTTATCTCCCAGTCTAGCTCTGATTCGCCTCCTTCGGAGTAATCCAGGGTCTGTTCTTCCTCAAGATGATCTGAGATTCTCTCGAGTTCTGAGGAAGGGTTCAAGTTGTTGCCCTCTTGAAGTCTCTCAGCTCGTGAAAAGTCATCTTCTGAATTCTCTTGGGGATCTCCATCAGAGTTGCTTTCACCTTCCTTAAAGGGGAAGTTATTGCCTCCATTGGAGTCACTGTTATTCTCAGGATTTCTGATCTGAGTTCTGTGGATTACAGTATTATTCTTGATTTCTTCCTGAAAATTAAGACGGAAACTTACATTTCTGAACAAGCTGTTCTGTTGGAGGAGTTCTAAAGGTTTAATGAATTCTTTCTTGTTCGACTCCCTGGCTAGAGGTGTCATCTGCTTCTCTACCGAGATAGAATCAGATTTCATGTCTATTTGATCTTTTGTATTTGAGAATCCACTCACTTTTCTGATAAGATGGTCTTCTTGGGCGGTATCAATGTTGTTGCCTCTTTTTAGTTTAGAGTCAGAGGTTCGAAGATTTGGGGATTCTCGAGTCTTTCTTTTGACTCTTCTTGGTCTCAGCCTTCTTATCGAACTTTTGGATGTTTTTGATTTCGGGGTTTTAGATGAGGCTATATCCTTGCTCTGGCTAGCACCGTAGCCTTTTCTTGGAGAAATTTTGTTCTTTGAAGTAAGAGAACTTCCATATTTTCTTCTGTATGAGGACTTTGTGCCTTTAGAGACTCTTCTGTGAGGTTTTCTTCTAGAGAACCTTGAGCTAGAAGAGTCTTTCCTGGGTTTTCGGAACTTGATCTTCTCTTTGACAACCCAATCTACATAAGTGAGAACAATTTTGACTTACCTACTACCACTAAAGGTCTCATGGATTCACTATATAAAGTTTTATCAGATAAAATTACCTTTTATACTCAAATTTGAAATCTTTCAAAGCAGATTTGAAGTCAACAATAGTTTGGATATTTTCCATAAGCTCTCTCTTTGTCGGTTCAAAATACTCAAACAGTCTTGCTCTTTCTTCCTTATGTCAAAGGATGAAATCGAGTGCTTTCACTGTCTGGTCGAACATCCTGAGCGGATAGTCACAATTAAGGTACTTCTTGACATCAGAAAATGTAGCTAGGACTCTTTCATTAGAGATCATAGCATTATTTAGGTCATCTTTGAGGTACCTCATAGAAGTTTTGAACTCATCAGTGTTCATCTTTTCGTTAAAAAGTTGGGAAATATTATCATCACGATCTTTATTTCCTTTATCATAGTGTAATAATCTCGCAGAGATTCTGTCTATTTCTTTCATGTTGTCTCTGATCAATTTTTCAGAGTATTTCTTGTCTGAATCATATTCCTTAAATTTAGCTTTGAAAGTCTGGAACTCTTCATAGTTCTTGGACTCTTTCTCCATGAATTTATTTATAAATTTCAGACTTTTGGTTCAACATTGTTTCTGTATGCTGCTCTAATTGATCTTTAAATTCGATGAAGTTGGCCTGCAAAGCTTCATTTTCTTCCTTAATGTTGGTGAGCCTAGCTTTGGTGTCCTCCAGAGAATTGTGAACCCCACTGATGTCTTTCTTGACTTTATCCCGAAGGATTTTCATATCACCCTTAAAGCTCGTTATTTCTTTAATAGAGTCCTCACAACACTGGATTTTAGTAGAATTGATTTCATGCTTATATTCTAAATCAGTGACTCTTGAGGCAAGTATGGTAATGTCAGTTTTGTTCTTTAAGCTAGACATTGAGTTGATCTCAATGGCCTGGACGACTGGCTGGAGCTGTCCGCTGAGCATTTCCCTGACTCTGTTTTCGAGTCTGAACCAATCAACTTCGTGTTTGTCTGGATCTTTATTGGTTTCTTCCTCAATTTCTATAAATTTTCTATAGATTATTCCTCAAGGCTAACTTATTTCTTGTGCTGAAGGAAGAAGCTTCATGCAGCTTTTTCATTGTTGATATAGCTATAAAATTTATTTATTCAATAACAAATTTTCATCTTGGGGTTTTGGGGTTTTGGGGTTTTGGGGTTTTGGGG